CCATAATTCCAGAAATTGGTCCAGCTAGCCTCGGATGAGGTTGCATGCATCGGATTTCTGTTTCATTATCCCTTTTCTTGCTTAACCGAGCCATTGAGCTGCATGCAAGGCTTAAACACTTAGTTTTTAGTTGGTTAATCACAATTACAAGCTCAGATCATCACAATAAAGCAAATTAGAAGTTGCGTTTCCTAATCAAGCTCTCGGCCGAGCCATGTCTTCCAAATCAGATTTTCTCATGATTCAGTTTCATCATCCAACCGCACTGCTCAACATGCATGTCCATATATGGCTCAATCTATTACTAATCAACTTATTCTAGCTCAGGAATTACCTCACAGTAAAGCTTACCCACGCGACAGAGCTGAACTTTTCTCCCTCTCTCGGTTCTCACGCGACTGGAGGTGGTGTTCCTGGTTGCAGTGGTTGCGGCTGTGATGGTGTTGAGGCTGGAGCTGATGAACTGGTTTTCAGTTGGTGGAGGTCGAAGAAACAGATGGAGTTCACGCACGGCTTTCCCTTTCTTCCCTCACTTGCGGCCGAAACAGAAACGAAAAGCTCGCGAGTTTCTTTTCTTTCCTCTCAGATGCAAGGTGCGGCTCCCTCACTCTCTCTCTCGTCGATGATGACGAGGTGGGGGTTCTTGTGGTTGAGACGAGATGAAACAGAGGGAATGGTGCATGGTTGGGAGGAGTTTGAGTGCTTGAGAGGTTGTGTGTTGAAATGGAGAAGGTTTTTCATTCGGCCGAGGGTGATGAAGTTATAAGGATTGTCCGAAATTGGGTTTTGTGGTTGGAGGAGGAAGAAAGCTTCACACTCTGTTTCTCTCTTTTGCTCCTCACGGTTTCTGCTATCAAATGGAACAGCCGACTCCTATTTGTTTCCTCTCTTGGTTTTGCTCTCGGTTGAAGTCCAAAATGGCAGAGCATTTCCTTTCTCTCGGTTGTTGCAGCCTAAGAAAAAATTGCAGAGTTCTCTCTCTCATTCTTTCTCACGGCTTTGGGTATGAAGATGGAGTGAAACTTTGCTCTCTGTTTTCTTTCTTTTATTTCCCCTCAGCCGTTAATATCAAGGTAGGAACACAAGGCTTCTTCAATTAGTGGTTTGATGATTCCTAAGCTTTCCACTCAATCCATAGTCCACTGGTCGCATGGTGAATTTGCTAGAGTGAAAGGTTAGTTTAGTCCTTTAACATTATATCATTTATTTTACCATACTGAAATTTTTCCTTAACTCACTTGTTAACTCCTAATCTTATTTCTATCTCCTTAATCTCATAAATTCTCACACATTTAATTTTTAGGAAATCAATAAAACAAGTAGCTTAGCACTAAAATATATTTAATTCATACCAGTTACGGTATACCCCATGTTTTTATTTGGTTCGTACAGTTTGTTTTATACGTTTTAAGTTTAAACGTTTAATTAATCTATGAATTAGTATTTAATAATTCTAACGGCGAAAATGAAAATAATACATGCCTGGTTAATTCGAGATGGAAGAAGGCTAATTAAATCTTTTCACATCTTGTCCGAATTTTCACTTAAGTCCTCATTCGTAATCTAATTCCGAAAATTTACCCCAAATGAAATTTGACCACTTACTAGTATACTAACCTCGCAAAAATTCAATTATCGAGATTTTAACGTCCTAAGTGTAAGTATAAAGGGTTTTGACCTAGAATCGATTCCATCTTAATTCTAAGGCTTCCGATGGCACTTAACATTATTAACACTTAAAATTAACTATCGACATTCAAGGAATTAATATTAAGGTAATAAATAATCTACATCAAGAAATATTAATTTATCTTGACAAAACCAAGTACTTTAATATTTTGGCACAATTATATTATTTATCACATAAAAATTGTTTTTACGCACTTATTTAAAGACAAGTAGAAATAATGCTAGAATTTATTAAAGAGTCAAAGTGCAAGTGAAATATGCATGAATATATGTATATATATATATATATATATATTTTTTTTTTTTTCGGGGTTCTCACACTTTTCTTCACCCATGAGTTTGTTGACCAGAACATTCAAAAGCATCTTGACCACTGCACACCAGTCATGTTCGACTGAGAACTCTATAAGCCATCTGAAACGCTGGAAAGGAAATGTATCCAAGTTGGGATCTTGAAGACCCAATCTAAACTTCAACTTACTTCTACGGAGGAGCCAACCAATTTCATGTATGAAGTCCAGAGCTTGTTTGAGGAAAGAAATTCAGGGGAGAAGAAGGTCGCATAGTTGTTGGACAAAATTGTCCTTCCATTTTGCCACGTGTATAGCTAATTTCATAGATTAAAAGCAATTATCGATTAAATGGTGACGAATTTATTGATTAAGTTGTTTAGTAGCCAATTATTGACAAAAAATAGTTCGATGGTCAAAACATGATCCCGCCAATAGTTTAATGGCCGCTGAGGTTTTTTGCCCTAAATAAAACATATAAAACATAATTAAAACAGATAAACACAGAGAGTACATAGATCACATAGTACATAGACATGATATTTAAATGCAAAACCTGAAAAAAAAAAAAAAAAAAAAGCAAGTAGACATGCAAGCAAATAAACTCACAAACATGCAAACAAATAAAATCTGACTATTACATTAGAAGCCCTAACTACAATCTAAAAGGGGAATTTTAAAAATAATAAACCTATCTATTATATTTATTTAACTAATTACATTTTTGATAAAATATAAAATCTATCTATTATATCACCTATCTAAATATATTTCTTGGGAAACACAAGGGAAACACAAGGGGTAGACAAAATCAGGCTCACGGTTAACATCTTATGGCAACTTTGGAAAGCTAGAAACAAAATGACATTCCAGACTGAGAATGTGGATGCAAAGATGATAGTAGACAAAGCTCAACAGGAATGGATCGAGTATGATGCAGCGAATGAGTCAGACACACGAGCAAATGCACCCCTGGAAATGGAAGGACGGATTCAGCAAAGGTGGGAGCCACCTAAGGAAGGAATAATGAGGATCAATACGGATGCAGCAATTTCAGCTCAAATGGTCAGAACAGGATTGGGGATTATCACGAGGAACTGGCTTGGGGAGATAGTGAAAGCTAAGGGAATCACTGAGAGGAGGAGAGGGGAAGCAGCCACTGAGGAAACACTAGCAATCAGAGGTGCGCTGGAAATGGCTCAAGGTGCAGGATGGACAAACATAGAAGTCCAATCTGACTGCAAAAATGTTGTGAGCCTTATCAATACGGACAATGTTCAGGATTGCACACTACAAACAATCCTGGAAGACATTGATATCCTGAAGAAGAGCTTTGACAGTTGCAATTTCTCTTTTGTACCCAGAACTGCTAATGGTTGCAGCCATGCAATGGCTCAATTTGCAATCAAGTCAATTAGAAATATTGAGTGGGAAGGTTCATTCCCAACATGGCTATCTGGTTTAGCTAGAAAAGATATGGGGGTAGTTGCCCCTTTTTGCAATTAGCTCTTGTACTATCAAGTGTTAATATTTATAAAATGTTATCGTTTGTTAAAAAAAATAAATATATTTCTTGGGCAAAAGGATACAACCTACTTATTACAATTTGACATTTAAAAGTTTTCAAACAAACATCCAAATTAAATAAAATAAATAAAGGTTTAAAATGAATAAAATGAGTAAATAAAAGAAAAAACACATACAAACATGCAATCACACATGAAAAAATATAGGAGCACATAAAAGAGTTTAAAGAATAATAGAGGGTACCTCCCTTGAAATAATGGCTAAGTGGGAAGGATAGAAATTGTCACTTTTTCAAAAATTAACAAACAGGTCAATGCACCAATTTAATTGACAATTTTCAAAAAAAAATTTAAACATATACTATATTCCCCTTTTATTGTGAAAAAATGTAAAAAAACATTAAAAAAAAACCAAAAATTATAAATTAAATGTATTTTAATGAAACACAATTAACAATTAAAGAAAAAAAGCAATTGTAATTGAGAAATCAAGAACGAATAGGGACTAAATTGCAAAAATTAAAAAGTTTTGAGGTTAAATTACAATTCTCAAACATTAGGGGTCAAAATTAAATAAAAATAAAGTTTAGAGATCAAAATGCAATTAAATTAAGGACCTAGTAAAAGAAATCTAAAATTTTAGAGTCACAATGAAATTACTCGAAAGATAAAGGGTCAAATTACAAAATTCATTTCTAATTACATACAAAACCATTTTGGGCCATTTTAAAGCAGTTGGGCCGCACCACTCTAGTCTAAACGAAAAACGCAAGCTAATCCACAAAAAACAAACAATCCCAAAGAAAATTTAGACAAATTAAATAAGAATGGAAACTTTGGATTTAACTCTAAAACCCAGCCACAAGCCCAACGATAAATAAACACAAGCCCACCAGAAATAATGAAACCAACACAATGTTTTTTTTTCTTTCCCTCTTTTTCTTCTTATTCTTCCCTCTCCTTCTTCTTCCTCTCCGGTGTATTGAAGTTTCAGTAGCCGACGGCAGCGGCGGCGAACCACCGGCGGCCGGCCTCTCCGATCGAAAAATTTCACGAAAATACAACCCCCCACTCGATTTTTCGCGTAGAATCCGTTTCTGACCTTAGTTTTTACAAAATATGAACAAAAAGTGCTCAAAAGAGCAATTTACAGCAGAGTTTTATTTTTTAAAAATCCCTCAAATCTTCACTAAAGCTCATGCAAAATATAGCAAAACAACCCTTACAAAATCTACAACGCTACTGCATGTTCAATTTAACAACAAACAGTAAGGAAAATGATGAATGAAAGCAAAGCAGTCTCAACTTTAAAAAAAAAAAAAACTTGTTTCTTGCTTTCTAGGCTAAAAACTCAAAAATTTAGAAGAACAAAATATTTTTCAGGCCTTATTCTAGCTATAACCAACTATTTTAGCAAAATATGTACATTGAATTTACTCATTTAGACATTTTTTCAAACACTTAACATGCATACACAAAACCCATTTTTCTTTTCTTAATCTTGTTCTATGATTTGCCCGATGTCCAGACAGCACAACAACAACCAAAACCTGCAAGAGCAAGAGAAAAATAAGCAACAAAACATACACTTAATGTGCTTTAAAAAGTTAGAAAATACCTCAATGAAAATTGTAGTTCCTTGGTTAAAATTTTGGAGAAATCCTTAAGTTTCAACCATTTATTCGCTTGCTGTCTTTACTTCCTTCTTTCACCTTTCTTTGCTCCGAAGATGGGTGTGCGTGAGAGCCAGGAGAGAAAAAGAATTGAGTGATGCGTGTGTTTGTGTTGGTGTGTTGTGTTGTGTGAGTGTGAATAAAGGGAGAGCCGAGAGAGTTTTTCTTTTCTCTTAGTGAGTTGTCTGCAGTCTTGAAAAAATTCCCAGAAGTCGAGAGAGGTTTCAGGGGTTAAGAATTTATGGGACAAAAAATTCTAAAATTTAGAATTGATTGTTAGGATAAATTAGGATTATATGTCTCATTTCCCTCCCTTTGATCCATTTTTGGCAGGTGTTAAAGGATAAAATTTGGATGATGAGTTGTCCTTGTACCAACCAAACCTTGGGTAGAAAGAAAGAATGAAAAAAGTCTAGTTACGGTTTTTGGTTGGGTTTTGTTTGAATTTTGTGTAGATTTTTTGGTAGGCTTTGTGGTTAGGTTTGGATTTTCTTCTATTGGGTTTGAAACACAAAACAAAAAAAAATTTTGTACAATAAATTTTCAATTTTGAGCATCCATTTTTCTTTTGATTTTCTTTTTTTTTTTTTTGCAGAAACCTATAAAATAAAAATTAAAATAATTATTCAAACAATTTAAGTGAAAAATGGTACACTTGAAATTAAGAAAAATTTGGTGTCTACAACTTACCACTCTTTGTCTAAGTTTCGAAAAAAATCAGGACAAAGACATAGACACCAAATTACTTGCCTGTCTCCTTCGACTATAACTGTATCAAAACAAACAAAAGTAAATATTTTAAACAAGATTAAAATATGCATGGATTTATTTACGGCTCCTGTCGCATCAGACGTAGTCTAAATACGAGGTTGAACGAAGTTCGTGCTGGAAACAAAATAAAATCAAAAAAATCAAAAAGAAAATAAGTAGAATAAATAATAAGAGAATACATGTATTAAATTGCGAGTTGATATCCATTGATGGGATTAAACTCAGACCCAAACAACTAATAAGAAGATTGAAATATGTTTTCAAATGCCAATCGTCGGTGGGATTAAATCAAAACGCAAACAACTAGCGGAAAAGTGAAAAGTCATCTTAAAAGCTAAATTGATTGGTGGAATCCAACCCATATCCAAACAATTAGCGAAATTTTGAAAAATCATTTTAAAACTAGATTGATTGATGGGATCTAACCCAAACCCAAACAACTAGTGAAAATCTGAAAAATTATTTTAAAACTAGATTGATCGGTGGGATCCAATTCAAACCCAAACAACTAGTGGAAAAGTACTGAAAATGTACCTCAGGCCTAGATAGTTGGTGGGATTAGATCCAAACCCAGACAACTAGAGAAATAATTTGAAAATGTACGTCAGGTCTAAATAACTGGTGGAATGAAACCCAAACCCAGACAACTAACGGAATAAATGAAAATACACCTCAAATCTAGATGGCTAGTGGGATTAGACCCAAATTCAAATAACTAGTGAGATAAATGAAAATGCACTTCAGGTCTAGATAGTTAGTGGGATTAAACCCAAACCTAGACAACTAATAGATTGGTAGGATAAAATTCGAATCCAATTAAATAACAGATAAGTGGGATAAAAATCAAACTCAATTAAATAACAGATTGGTGGGATAAAATTTAAATCCAATTAAATAATAGATTGGTGGGATAAAATCCGAATTCAATTAAATAACAGATTGGTGGAATAAAATCTGAATCCAAATAAATAACATATTGATGGGATAAAATCCGAAAACAATTAAATAAGAGATTGGTGAGATAAAATTCGATCCCAATTAAATAACATATTGATAGGATAAAACTCGAGTCCAATTAAATAACAGATGGGTGGAATAAATTCGAACCAAAATAAATAACAGATTGGTGGGATAAAATTCGAATCTAATAAAATAATAGATTGGTAGGATAAAATTCGAATCTAATTAAATGACAGATTGATGGAATAAAATTCGATCTCAAATAAATAATAGATTAGTGAAATAAAATTTGAACCCAATTAAATATCAGATTGGTGGGATAAAATTCAATCCCAACTAAATAACATATTAGTGGGATAAAACTCGAACCTAAATAAATAACGATAAAAATGAAAATGCGTCCCAAATCTATATTGCTAGTGGGATCAGATCCAAACCCAAATGACTAGTGGGGGAAATAAAAATGTAAATTACTAATCTTGAGAAAATAAAATTGTAACATCCATGCCACTGAATTAGAAGGAACAAACAAGAACTAGAAATATTTTAAAAAATGCTGGAATAAAATGCAAAACCTAGATTGCTATAAGAAAATGAAATGCACGGCCCAGAATGTTGTTTACAAAATATTCTCTTCTCTTTTTTTTGTTTATTTTTTTAAAAAGGCGTCTTTTCGGGTTTTCACCTAATGAACAATCTTAATGACAGCATCTATCAATTCAGAAATTTATTTCAAGATTGATAGTATTAGTAAGACAATCCTTGCTTTGCAAAATTGGTAAAGGTGTGTTTACATTATTTGTCATTTGATTAATAAAATTTTCCTCAAAATATTGCAAAAGATGAAGGTCATAATAAGAAAGGTTATTGCTGGAAAGCAGATCATATAACAGGTTTGAAATAATTTTGAAAATGCATTTTTCAAAATTTGCCCTAGTGTAGGGCTGATAAAAACTAAAAAATTGCTCCAATTTAATTCTAACTGGATTTCTCTTTTCCCCCCTCTTTTTTTTGACGTATGTACTCATTCTAAATGGATAAGCCAATCCTCCACTTTGCGATGTAGTATTATTGCCCCTTTTTATTTGTGATTGACCTTAAAATTTGCAAGATTTTGACCTCTATTTCTTTCTCGATTTCAACCATAAACACCTGCACAGATGGAATTTACCAAAACATGACTTGCACTTGAATTTTCACAGAAAATTTCTTACTTTATTTCGAAAAATAATGCAATTACTACTCATGAAAGGAGCGGTCTTATTGAAGTCAAATTTTGAACAATAGATTCTAAGGTATACTTGACTCTTTGGCGAAATCCCACAAATGTATTACAAAAATTTGCCCTAATTTGGGTCTTTTAATTGCAAAAATTTTTATTTGGATGACCTTCTATTTATTTGACAAAAACAAGAAAACAATACTTCCTAAAATTTAGAAAATAATCACATGTTAACATGCAATGTGCATTGGTGTAAAATAGAAATTATATTCTTCAAATGAAAAAGAAACTAAGTTAAGAAAAATGTCATGCCTAAACTCATATAGAAGACTCTATGATGAACCTCTTAGAACAGGACCAAATTGCAATAGATTCCTTTCTCACTTAGGATCAACGTTTAGGGAAAAAGATCACCCTTTCTCGTTAGCTCATCTTTCAGGACCAATCAAGTGGGTATTATTCCTAATTTTCGGGTAGCTAAAAGAAATGATATTTAAAGATAGTATGTCAAGATCTGTCTTACTTTTGTACCTAGATTGCATCTAATCCATCCAATATCACATTGTGGTGAAAGCAAATAGTTTTTCACCCTTATTTCTTATAAAAACTCAGTCAACATATAAACTCTCTAACCTTGTAATATATGGGTAGAAGAGAAAACTAAATATATGGAAACCGGTTATGACCTTATGATCATGAGTGATTGGTAGATCTTTTAGAGACGTGATCCTTATTTCAAATTGTCATGAAAGATAAGTTAGCAATGGACTTTATGAACTTGTAATGTGGTTTGAAAACTATAGTTAAAAGAAATAAAATTTTCAATGATGCTGCACTTAAGATCGCATTCCTTCCAAAATTGCCCCAGTTTTGGGTTCAAAGATCTTGTACTCCATTTCGACTTTTATCATCAATCATTGGAGGGATTTTGATATTTTCTCTTTTTTTTTTCTTTTCTTTTTCCCAACACTTTCTTTTTTATCTTTTCTTCTTTTTTTTTTTTGCTTTTTGCTTTTTGCTTTTTCTTTGTTTTTTTCTTTGTTTTTTTTCTTTTTGCCAATGCTAAAGGTTAGATATTAATGATAGAATAAAAAGCCCCCTAACTTTTAGGAGATAGATGCGCTTTTCTCTGTTTCTTTCTTTTTAATACTTCATGTCTCTTCCAAAAAAATTTAGCATCTTTGTTATTATTGAAAATTCTCAAATCTCCTTTCCCTATGTGGGGTGAGATCATAAGTACTTTTAAAATGAACTACCAATTTAAGTTTAAATGAGGATGCAAAGGATAAACAGTGTTTAGATAATAGAAAAGATGGCCAAAATATCATTCTCACATTACATGACAACCAAAGTAAAGTATAACTCATTAGGAGAATCTATTCCTTTTGGACATTTGAAAATTTTTCCAATTATAGGGTTGTGATCATTAAAGCTCTTATTTAAAACGAAATTGTAATTTTGATATGGGTAAATAAATGATAAAATCTGTATAGATAGATAAACAAACGCATAAAGTATCATTCCAAATTCTCAAAACAAATAAGAGTAATGACCATTTTTACTTTCAACTAGATGTAGATTGAATCTGGTTAGACACATTGCGTCTTTCCAAAATAAAAATTGCCTCACTTTAAAGTGTATCAATCAAGGTGACTGATTCTGAAGGCTTGATAGAATTAGACAACATATGAATAGCAAAAATAAAAGAAACAAAGTATTGTGGTTGGTCTTTTAAGACAAACTAACAAGTTTGAGCGATCTCTTTTGATTTTGAGCGCTCTCATTGAATAGTCTGGACCACAAATTTAGTGCATGCAAAGATTTTAGAAAGTTAAACATGCAAAGATTTTAGAAAGTTAAACAAATACTTATAAATTTCATGCAAGAGATTGGGAATCTCAACTTAGTCTTATTTCTTAAAATCCATCACGAAATCTCCCAATGAGCAAATAAAGAATGAAATGTACATGAATATATACAAAACAATAATTATTTAAATGAAAAACTTTATTATTGCAAATGTTTGAAACAAAATTTTTACTCAACTATAATACAAATGAGAAACGAAAAATCTCTAAAGAACACACTTTCACATATACACACACTTTCTTTCTCCTTTCTTTTAAGATAAAATGTGTTAGAAACAACAAATCAAAAATTTTTTTTACGAACAACTATATCATAAAATCTCTTAGATGCTTTAAACAAGCACTTCCAGATGGATTTTTCATATTTTTCTATCGTAGGATTTGCTCAAAAATCAAATAATACTTCTAGTTTTTTTTAAAAACTTTATTAGACCAACATTGTTGTCAAATATGAGAAAATCATTTTTACTTTACTAAAATATCTTTTATGAATGTAGAGGAGGGGGAGAAAAGAAAAAGAAAAA